GATCAGACATGGGGAGAGGCCGGGCTGTAAATCCTGGAGGGGAGAACTTTAATGCCACTTAGAAATCAGGCCTGAAACACCCATAATGTTTGTCAGTTCACATTTTAGTGTTCTTGAGTAAGTGTGCAGGGTGTGGGGGATGAAATATGGCAGGTATTTGATTTAAAAAGCCTGCCCAGATTTAATGTCCTGATAAAATGTATTAAATCTTTTAAGGTTTTAATGAATCTAGTATGCGTTTCATAAATCAAGAACTCTGCTAAGCCATCTCCTGGTTTAATAAGAGTAAACTGGAAAATTGCTCTGAGCAGAAGCAAAATACATTTATATCACATCGAAAAATAATAGATTTTTAAGCTGAGGGGGGTCTTTCTGGGCCTTTTAAGCTGTTTGCTTATTACATTGGTCCGACTCCTTCAAATATTAAACCCCAGGCAAACACGTGCTAAACCGTATCAAGATACGAACCCGCACGAAGGTAAAGATTATTTGGAAGAGAGCAGAAAACAAAGCCGGTATTTCCTGACCCAGAGACCTTGGACCAAGTTGGTTTTTGCACTGAAACCTGGCTTTGTGTAACTAGGCTTAAGGTGGTTGGTTAAAAATCATTAGTAACTGTTATTAAACCTCCCTTCCTAAATTCCCTCACTCCTCCACCCTCACCCCCTCAACATATTTGCTGGACTCAAGTGGTAAGTGTGGAACAAACACACTTCTTGGGTTTTACAGCTGTTGGGGGAATGGCTTGTGAAGGTCGCTGTTCAGAGTATCTAGAGCAGGCATTAGAAGCCTCTTCCCCTTGTCTTCAGCCTAAACTCCCTAAGGTTTGCTTTTGCTCCTTTCCCTTCCTTTTTTTCCACCAGTGCCCCCAATGCCACGGCTCCAGCTCCTGCAGGGGTGGGGAGAGGGCTCTTAGGGGAGTGGGTGTAACAGATGGGTCTCTCTGAGCTGGCTGGGGATGGGAAACCCCTGGTACCAGCTTCCTTTGTGGATGGGGCAGGTTCTGGGTGAGATGGTGCTTCAGGGCCTTGGGGGGAGGTGGTATTGGAAGAATGAAGTGGGGCTGGTGGGGCTGGAACATTCCAGCGCACAAAAGCTGGCAGGGCTTGTGAGCTCTGCAGGGGAGGGAGCCGGCCCCATAAGGCTCAGCGAGGAGAAGCCTGTCCAACCTCATTAGCTGTCACGGGCAACAATACTGATCTGGCAATAAAGGCGATTCCAAACCTGTTGGTCATTAATCACCCGCCTGACAGTTGCGAATGGAAGTGGAAAAACCTCTCCCCCCCTCTCCCCTCCCCCTCCTCCCCTGGCCCAGCTCTGGGGTTTCGAGTTACCTCTCGGTATATATGGGGTTCGCTGCTGGGGGCTAGTCTCTTCCCCCTTCACTTTTCAAGAGGCCGCGTTCAGCGTGGACAGGCCACAGGTTGGCCAGAGCAGATTCCAGCACAGGAACCAGGGGGCGAGAAGGTGCCGGGAGGCGCCCCCGAGGTCGGCCCCCTGGGATCCAGGCTGGGACTTGGCCAGCGCGAGCGTGGGGTTGGGGAGACTTGTCAGCGCCCCAGCCTCGTCTTTATACACCCTCCCCCTCACTCTCTGCACCCCATCTCTCCCTCCCTCAGCCGCCAAGTGCCAACATATTTCCCTTTCTGTTTCTCTCCTACTCTTCCCATCCCCTACCGGACCCCCCTCCCGCCCCCCCCATCTCTCCTAAGCAGATCTCAGCTCGGGAAAAGCTTTCATCTCAATCCTTTACTCCCTGCTCTGAGTGTAAGCCCCGTATCCTTTCCCACAGGCACATGTATTGTCAGCCTCATCCCTAACCGTAGCATTTGGCGACAGGCGACTTTGGGTGACAGCGGTAGTTTGCGTGTGGGAGGTGCAGGCGGTGGGTAGAGTGGGAGGGCGGGCCGGTCTGCACTGGCGCCCCCTGAAGGCAGCTCGCGGGAAGTGCAGCTGGGTCTCCTGGTCCGCAGAGGCAAGGAGGGACCAGCGGAGAAAGGTGACGCACCAGTCCAGGCGAGATCTGGCTGGCTCTTCAAGTTACTGGCCTGCTCTTCAATGCACTTGAGCCATGTGACCTTTCAGAGCGAGAAGGTGCAACTTAACTTCTGCTCCATTTCAGAGGATGTGGAGGGAAGAGCGGCGCTTAGAATTAGCCAGGAATTTCGGAAATGGTAGCCTGACTGTAATTTGCATACTTCTTTTGGCTCTTTGGATGGGCAGGCATAAGAGAGAGTCAACCGAATGCTAAAACCTAGCACGGGGAGAAATTGTAACATAAAATTTCGAGTGGTCTAAACGGATCCTCTAGTTTCCCCGAACTTTTCTGAATCCCGCGGGTACAGATTGACCGTAGCCTGGCCCGCGTTAGCTGGTGCTGTCTGTTCTCCCCATGGCAGAGAATAGGAGGGTCTGTCTCCAGCTGATCCATCCAGACTCCTCTGACCAGGATGAATTCCCATGACCGACTCATAGGAACAAAATGGAAAAGGACAGCTTTTTAGGTCTGTTTTGTAATTTTCTTTACATTCCTTTTTCTTTTACTTCCTTCTGCTTTTTTCTAATACTATGGTTGTTCTTACCTCTACCTACACGTTAGAAACACTTGGGGAGCTTTTAAAAAATAGTGATGCCTAAGCCACATTCCCCGATACTCTTATCGATAAGATTGGTCTCGGGTAGGGGTCCCCACATGGCGATACCTTCAGGTGATTCAAATCTCGGGTGGGCTGAGAACTATGGGTGTAATATCTTTCCACCCATCACGTCAATTCCCACCACGGTATCTTTGCTTTTGAGTTTTCTCTGCCTGGAATGCCCCCCTCTTTTCTGTCTGCCTGTCGACGGACCAGCTGTGCCACTCATGTCAATTGCTTCTACTGCACAGCACAGACTTATTAAAAAGAGGGAAGAAGCAGAAGATGTGGTCCTGAGCTGGGGACATTTTTAGAACATAGTGTTTCTATTTAAAGACTAAATGGTCTGATACATGATGTAGGTGCTATCGGAGCTCAGAACAGAGAGAAGTCAGGGAGGGCTGCAGCAATTGCGGAAAGTTGTGTGGAGGAAGGGGCTGGGCTGAGTGTTGATGGGTGGTGGGGTTTGGGGAAGGGGGCAGGGAGGATAGAGGACTTCAGGCAGAGGGATGACATGAGCATATGAGTAGAGGCTGAAATGATTGGGGTATGTGCTGGGGACGAGAAGAAGATTCGCTCGGCTAGATAGAAAGCTCAGCCCTTCCCCCTCCTTCAGCCCTGCACGCATCCCTGCCACACTTCCTACAGCTTCACTATGGATTCCACACCGTCGTCAGTGGTTTTGTGCTGTTCGGTCACTTTCATGTGTGTGTCTCTAGGTCTCACCATCAGATTTGTAAGCAACTGGAAACAGGGACTATACTTTATATAAGTTGGGACCTATCATTCAATTCAATTCAATTCAGTTCAATTCAACATATATTTACCGAGTGCCAGCTCTGTGTCAGTTCTAGGCTTTTGGGATTCAATCAAACAGACAAAGACACTGGCCCTTCTGAGCCTGGATTCTAGCCAGGGGATACAGACAACAATAAACACTATAAATAATATATCGATAAATTATATAGTCTAGTAAAAGTACCACAGATAAAAGAAAAAGGAGAACGGGATAAGGGGTATCAGGAGTGAGTGTGTGTAGGTGAGTGTGCATGTGTGTCTGTGTGTGCATATAGAGTTATTGAATGGAAGATATTAAATACAAGGCATTATTATTATTTTTAAAAAATAATTTTATTTATTTATTTATTTATTTTTGGTGGCACTGGGTCTTCAATGCTGCATGCGGGCTTTCTCTAGCTGATGTGAGCAGGGGCTACTCTTCATTGAGGTGCACGGGCTTCTCACTGCGGTGGCTTCTCTTGTTGTGGAGCACGGGCTCTAGGCACACGGGCTTCAGTAGTTGTGGCACACGGGCTCAGTAGTTGTGGCTCGTGGGCTCTAGAGAGCAGGCTCAGTAGTTGTGGCGCACTGGCTTAGTTGCTCCGCGGCATGTGGGATCTCCCTGGACCAGGGCTCGAGCCTGTGTCCCCTGAATTGGCAGGTGGATTCTTAACCACTGTGCCACCAGGGAAATCCCCAAGGCATTATTAATAGAGGTATTAAATACAAGACATTATTAATAGAGGTATTAAATACAAGGCGAAATGAGGTCTCATTGAGAAGGTGAGAACTGAAAAAAGACTTGAAGGAAATGAGGCATTTGCCCAAGTGGATCTCTGGGAGAAAAGATCTTTAGACAGAGAAAATATTTCTAGAACAAAGCTGCTACGTTGCAGCATGCCTGGCATTTTGAGGAGCGGCAAGGAGGCCATGTGGATGGAGCCCAGCGACAGAGGAGACAGCGGTGCAAGAGGAGGCCAGAGAGGGAGCAGGGAGCTGGACCACGTCGGGTCTCAGAGCCACCCTATGGACTTTGGGCTCTACTCTTAGTAAGATGGGAGCCCTTGCAGAGTTTCAAGCAGATGAGTGACGTGATCTGAGTGATGGTTTTAAAAAACCTCTTGGGCTGCTGGATTGAGAACAGCCGATGCGGGTTGGGGGTAGAAGCCAGGAAGTCCATCATGAGATCAGGTTTTACAGACACAGCTGACCTCATGCAAGTCAGTGAAAGAGGACCTTCAAAGCGTTCACATGGGAAGGGGGCACATTATTCCTGTGTGCGATTAAGAGCATCATTATAAGATGCCCATTATTTAGATTCTTGACCTGACTGAATAAGCCTGACCATCCAGCTTGGCTTCAAGAGACATTTCTGTCCCCTAATCAACACACAGCTTCGTCATTGCCAATAAAGTATGTGACGGGCTTTGACGACGGTTTTTAAAGAGTTCCAAAGAGTTTCGAGAAAGGTAAGAGAATAGAATAAATGTGTGTCATTCCAAAGTAACCATTTTGAATGGGACAGGGTTTATTTTGATGTCTAAGTCCTAAGTCTGTTAAAGGTTTTTTTTTTTTTTTTTTTTTTTTTAGCAAATTCTCCTCCTTTTCAAGAAAGCTGTCAGTCGTTGGGGAGGAAGTCAGTCAGAGCTCATTTTCTCTAAAGACCATGTCAGGCAGGTTCACACTGAGCCGAGAAGGGTCTTTGGAGGTTTGGAGACCTGTTCTGTGTCCCATATGAGGAGAGTTCCAGAAGACGGTAATAATATAACATGACAGGCAACGTCCGGGATGTCTGTGGAGTTGATGGCAGCAGCCAGCCCTGCTCCAGCACCTCACCAGATGCTTGCTTGGCACGTGAGCAGCGCCCCACCCCGGGCCCCGAGTACCTGGAAGTCTGGGTTTGGTCCTCGACTAAGATTGTGCCCTAAGCTCCCGATGGTCATCAGCCCCACGAACTCCAGGCTGGGGCACTTGGCGCTTATGTGTTCCACCACGGCCACCATCTCTGCAGGGGGCAGGCCGTGTTTGCCTTCACAAAAAGAAACAGAAGACACATAGAACATACCAAGATGTTCCAGGAAGCCAGAGGAGAGCCCCCTTCTCATCCCTTCCTTATGATGGAGGAGGTGGCTCTCAGACAAGAGGACTTCTTGGAAGAACTTGTCCTCAAGACCAAAGGAGTGACTTTACATTGAGGTCTCCGTGTGTGTTACTCCCCTTCTGACCTGGTTCTGAGTTTCTCAAGGGAAGAGCTCTAAACTGGATTCTCTTTATTCTATCTCAGCATCTGAGAACAGCTAGAGTAGAAGAAAAGAAAGAACACTGCTTTTCTTGAGACACCAAGAAGATTCACATCGCCAAAATGCCAGATTAACCCGAGAATTATTTTTCCAAATCTGGTATTTCTACCGTTTTATTAATTTATTAGAATTGTAAAAAAAATAAAAAATGAAGTATATATTACATAGTTTTGACTATAACTTGCAAAATTTAACTGAACTTGCTAATTAACAACCAGAGGAGGAAGCCGCAGCAAACGATTATCTGTTGTACAGTTATGAGGATGGACACTGTCCTTCTCTAACTTAACAAATGGAGACGCTAACAATCCACCAATCTTTAATTAGGGCAAATGACAGCCACTGATCAAGAAATGATGCAACAGACTTGATCTGGAGTCAATTTCAGATTTACCTATATTGATAATGTATTGTAGAATCTAGGTACATGTACATATAACGATAAGTGTTAAAATTTACTGAACGCTTCTGTGCCAGGCACATGTGCCAAGTCCTTAGAGCTTTTCATTAAACGCAGTAACTGGATGAAGTAAGTACTCTTACTTTCTCCATTCTAAAGAAGGGGAGACTGAGGCACCGGGAAACCAAGTACCTTTCCCAAGGTCACACAACCAGGAAATGTGGAACTGGGATGTGGATCCAGGTAGCCTGACTCTAGGCCCCATGCTTGTTCCTTCAGCCTAAGCTTTGTAGGCAAATGACTGGTCTGTAAACACTTATTCTTAACAAAGAGCTAACAGGTAAGACGCTCAGGGCTCTATAGCAACAGCTTTACCTCCATTTCCACGTTCAAGCCTCACAACACCCTTGGGAGTACTGCCCTGCTTGCACTGCCAGATAAGGCAGGCAGTGAAGTGCAGAGAGGTTAGGTACATTACTCAAGGTTACAACGCTGCAAGTGGTGGAGCTCAGACTCCAGGTCTGTCTGATTTCAGAGCCCAGGTTCTGTTTACTATTTTACATTGTTAACCCAAGCCCCATAAACATATTCACTGATTGGTACTCACAGTGATATTTCTTCGATTTTCTCCTAATGTAACATTAAATAGTTTTGTTAGGTCCTGAGAAGTATTATACATGTAAAACTGCAATCTCTTTCAGGAGGGATGGTGACCTCTGAGAATTTTCAGGATCAAAGTCACAATGCCCTTCTCGATTCCCCTTGCCCACCTCCTCAAAAATTAGGAAATAACGAACCATGATGTATTAAAGAATTACACGTGGACAGGTTTGGATGTCACTGTGCCGAGACCCTACATACAACAGTTTCTTTAAAGGCCTGTGACTTCTTTCTGTAACCTTAGGTATCAGATGCTTAGGCCTGCCATTCTTCCTGAGGTACAACCATCCTAAGGGGAGAAAAGTCTGCAGTCCAGGTCTGGTCACTTACTCTCCTCTCCGCTGGTGTTAATCTGGACCATAACCTTTAACCTTTCGGGAGAACCTTTTTTCTGCCACGCACTGTTCACTTTGTCTGCCAGCTTCACAGAATCCACTGTTTCCAGCATGAAGAGATTGGGGACAGCTGTAACGAGAAAGAGGCCAGGTCATTCTTCACTCACCTGACCGCAGCAAGCAGCACACCACAAAGCTTTTCTTGGTAGACAGGAAAATAATTTCCCAGGAAAAGGACAGTTAAGTCTCAGTTCTGCTAAGACTTACGTGACAGTTTACTAGATATTAAGTTCGAATGTCAGCCCATTGCTGTCTAATCGGAAAATACGAATAAGGAAAGGGAGGTGATGACGTGCTACAATCAGGCGGCACACGTATCCATCCATAAGCTTCAAGAAGCTAATAGTTTATAAATTAGGAGTTTGGGAGTAACATATACACACTACTATATATAAAACAGATAATCAACAAGGACCTACTGTATAGCACAGGGAACTCTACTCAACATTTTGCAATAACCTATATGGGAAAAGAATCTGAAAAAGAATCTATCTATCTATCTATCTATCTATCTTAATCACTTTGCTTTACATCTGAAACTAACACAACATTGAAAATCAACTATACTTAGGGACTTCCCTGGTGGTCCAGTGGTTAAGAATCCACCTTCCAATGCAGGGGACGTGAGTTCGATCCCTGGTTAGGGAACTAAGATACCACATGCCGTGGGGCAACTAAGCCCACACGCCGCAACTACTGAGCCCGTGCGCCACAACCAGAGAGCTCGTGTGCTGCAACTACAGAGCCCACGTGCTCTGGAGCCTGCACGTCACAACTACAGAGCCCACGTGCCACAACTAGAGAGCCTGCATGCCACAACTAGAGAGAAGCCCACACACTGCAACTAAGACCTGACGCAGCCAAAAATAAATAAATAAATATTAAAAAAAAGAAAATAAACTATACTTCAATAAAAAAAATAAGAATTAAAAAAACAATAAACAGTGAAAAAAAAAGAAGCTGGTAATTGTAGAGATTCTGAATGGCAGGCTTGATCTGATTAAATCTCAGTTCAAACTGAGAGAAACAGGCCAAGATGACAATAAGGAAAGGTTAAAGAGTGAAAGCTAAAGTGCTCCCTGGGCCTGATATCTCCATGTCTTTAAACTTCCTGGGATGGGGCTGCTCTTATTCAACAAGGACATCAGAATGACCACTGACAGCTAAGGGAGATACTTAGCTGTCATCAAAACCAACTTCTTTCCCAAAGATGCATTTAGTCTTGCCTCAGATAAAAAACAACAAGACAGAAGCAACATCAGCAGCTTACGTTTATTAAACACTGAAATCCTCCAGGTAATATGCTAATCACCTTATTTGCATTCTTCTTTTAAAAATTGAAGTATAGTTGATTTACAATATTGTGTTAGTTTCAGGTATAGAGCAAAGTGATTCAGTTACATATATTCTGATTTTTTTCCCATAAAAGTTATTACAAGATACTGAATATAGTTCCCTGTGCTACGCAGTAGGACCTTGTTGTTTATCTATTTTATACACAGTGGTGTGTACCTGTTAATCCCACACTCCTGATTTATCCCTCCCCCCACCCCTTTCCCCTTTGGTAACCATAAGTTTGTTTCCTGTCTGTGAGTCTGATGCTGTTTTGTAAATAAGTTCATTTTGTACCTTTTTTTTTTTAGATTCCACATATAAGTGATAGTATAGATCTGTCTTTCTCAGCCTTACTTCACTTAGTATGATAATCTCTAGGTCCATCTATGTTGCTGCAAATGGCAGAATTTCATTCATTTTTATGGCTGAGTAATATTCCATTGTGCATATGTACCACATCTTTATCCATTCATCTGTTGATGGACACTCAGGATGCTTCCATGTCTTGGCTATTGTAAACAGTGCTGCTATGAATACTGGGGTGCTTGTATCTTTTCGAATTAGTTTTCATCTTTTCTGGATATATGTGCAGGAGTGGGATTGCTGGATCATGTGTCAGTTCTATTTTTAGTTTAAGGAACCTCCATCCTGTTCTCCCTATTAGCTATATCCATATTAGCTATATCAATTTACATTCCCAGAAAAGGAGGTTTCCCTTTTCTCCTCACCCTCTCCAGCATTTATTATTTGTATAATTTTTGATGATGGCCATTCTGAATATGTTTAAGACCATGATTGTTGTGATGGTTTCATAAGTGCAAACATATGTCAAAACTTATCAAATTAAATACGTGCAATTTATTGTATGTCAATTATACTTCAATAAGGCTGTTTTAAAAAATAAATACAGGTTACTTTAATTTTGACACCTTGAGAGAAATAAGTATTCAGTTATTCAGGAAGATCTCCACCTGTCATTTTCATGCAGTTAAGTCTTTCTATGGTTAATTCTTAATTTTACTTTATTTACTGTATGCTACTCTATATTGTATTTTATTATTATATACTTTACTTGTAGTATTGTACATTATTGCATTTTATTTACTGTAGCCTTTCATTTAAAGCGAAAAGGACACAAGTGTCTCCTTTGCCAGCTGAAAAATTTTATGGGCTTTAATTCCTTATAATTTATTTCAAAGACCACAAAAAAATACCTAATGTGAGGTAGGGTAGGTTTCCAAGTATATATTACCCAGTCAATTGTGAGTTCGTTCTTTTCTTACATGATGTTTTCCCTTATATTAAGAACGAAGATTTCCTAATGCCATCTGCGGCAACATGGATGCAACTAGAGATGATCATACTGAGTGAAGTAAGTCAGACAGACAAATACCACATGATATCACTTATGTGTGGAATCTAAAATATGGCACAAATGAACCTATCTATAAAACAGAAACAGACTCACAGACACAGAGAACAGACTTGTGGTTGCCAAGGGGGGCGGGGGAGGGAGAGGGACAGACTGGGAGTTTGGGGTTAGTAGATGCAAACTATTATATGTAGAATGGATAAGCAGCAAGGTCCTACTGTACAGCACAGGGAACTATATTCAACATCCTGTAATAAACCGTAATGGAAAAGAATATAAAGAGAATGCATATGTGTGTATAACTGAGTCACTGTGCTGCACAGCAGAGATGGGCACCACACTGTAAATCAGCCATACTTCAACTGAAAAAAAAAATTGAAAAAAGAACTAAGATTTCTTTCCCAAAAGAAACTCCAAAGCACAAATGGTGAATCAGGAATACTCTAAAATCTTCTCTCTTCCACAGAAGGTACTGTAAGTGATACAATGATGAAAAAATTGTGTCTTCATATTTAGAGATTTATCTTACCCATCAACTTATTGACATTTTGTTTCTGTAGATGGCCAATGAAGTGCCATTTGATCTCAGGACACGAAGACAGAATCTGAAGAGAAAGAGGTGACCGTGTTTGACTTAGACTGTGCGGAGGCCTTGCCCGCCCACATACCTTGCACGCTGCCTTCTGACCTTTCCCCTCTATGCAATAAACCACTACTGTCATCTTCCGTCAGGCTCCTAAGGATACTTAGAGAAAACCTGAAGGCTTCTGTTCTATTTCTCTTCCTTGTTCCCATCAACTCGCTCCTTCTTTCAGATATTGCCCATTAAGAATGAACTCATTAAAGCTTTCAAATCTCAAAAGGATCCAAGATTACAGCAAGCTCCTAAAAATCACCATTTTCAAAAAGCCACAAAGGAGAAAACTATGATCTTAAGAAAGAAAGAAAATCTAGATGAGAAATGTTTAGGGCTCAAGGTGAACGCAGACATTTCTACCGCCAGCCCGACCTCCAGCTCTAAAACTCAACCACCGACGTGGGTCTAATTTTCAACTGAACAGCCAAGACTGAGATACAAACTAAAGAATTCAGATTCCACTTACTTTAGGATTTGACGCTTTTTCAAGCAGTTCCTGAACCTAAAGGGTAAAACCAGAACAAGTCAGAAGCCTGGCATACGTGACTCTTCCGAGGGCAGTGTGGAAAAGGGTTCTTACATAGTTCTCCCCGAAAGTGCGCTGCCCGTGACTGTAGGCCTCGATCACCATGTCTGCAGGTTTGGTTTTGCTGACCGCTACTAGCCGGGGCTGGATGGCTGGGAGTTCCTGCCAAGAGGAAAAGACCCAGATGAATCAAAGGTTGGGAATATTATCCCAATAAGCCCTGTAGGACATCCTGTAGAAGAGACTGGCAGAGATCTTTAAGTTGGCATTCTGGAAGATCCATTTTTCCAACGCTGCAGGGAGATCAGTGTCAAATGATGTTGATCAAATGTCTTTTGTATGCGTGGCATCTAACTCTAATACGCTAGCTACCTTAACATCTAGCAGAAGACCTTTCTCTCTCAGGAGAGCTGGGCAGGTAAGTAAGAGCAGGATTTCCGTAGAGCCTGGTCTTTGACCGACAGTATCAGCATCACCTGGGTCCTGCTCCAGACCCACTGGATCTGAATCTCAGTCTGGAGTCTGCGAATCTCCTTTAAATCAAGCTCTCCGGATGAGTCTCTTGCATGCCAAGGTTGGAGGTTTAAGAATCACTTTGTCAAGAGAAGGCATTGCTCTCTGACTAGAAGGGAGGCCACTTCTGGCTTCTGAAACCCCGAGGTCAACAGTCTTGGAAACTCATCTGGGTCCTGGGGTAATTATCAGTATTGCCCACAGGCACTCTCAAAAGCAGCCTGCTTAGGGCAACTCTGTAACGTCTTGTACAATCGAATCAAGAACCAGCGGCAGAACTAAGGCAAGGACACAGAAGGCTCTGGACTCAGGATTAGACCTATCTGACCCCCCTGTCATGGCCATTACATAAAGAGCGGCTTCCCTGGACTCTGCTATAACCAAATCCACACAGGGAAGAGATTCACCTATCCCCATATGGCTTTCATGTACCCCATCACCCTCTGGAATTTTTACAGAATCACAGAGTTCTCAAAGGGCCTGAAAAGTTACAATGATTAGCAAAGAGTTTCCCCTTCCTTCTGAGGGCTGCACTGCCAACCTTTTGAGACCATGTCATAACTCCTAGGATTATGTGGATGAATTGACAGTTTCTAGAGAAAAAAGTGGAATAGGCAGCCCATCTGCCTGAAAGTTATGCTGGGAGCACCCCCTAGCATGATTATTTATTAGGGGAATCTCTAGCTTTTTCTTGGAGAATCACAAAAAACTAATGCCGGAAGGGGGCTTAGAGCTTTCCATTGCCTGTACATATGAGGAAACTGACAGCCCGAGCAGTTAAGTGACTTGTTCAACGTAACGTCTAAGTAACAGCCAAGTAAAGGCTACACTAATACAGGTCTTCTGTCTCCAGGCCAGCATTCTCAGCTCTAACACCATAAATGCTTGATCAGAGAAAACTTTGACCTCTCTATTCAAGCCTGTCTTACTCCACACAATTCAGCTTGAACTTGCACTGAGGGGGGAAGATACTGACCTTTGGTTTAGTGAACTTCCAACAGGAGAGGAAATATATATAGGGAAAAAAAAAAAATCTCCCCGTAAACTGCTTCGGATTGGAGGTCAATTCCCTCCTGCCCCAAACGCGCAAGTGCAGCTCTGGTGCCTCCCTCCCAAGTCGGGCCAATCCACCCTGTCCTGCGCCAGCGAGAGGGGTGGGGGGCTGACAGTTACTGAGCATCTACTAGCTTAGACGCTGCCACACACGTGATCTCCGGCAGACCTGGCCTCCTTTGGCTGCTCTGGTAGTGGACGTCTTCTCCTGCAGCCTCTGGGCACAGGCCTGGCCCCTCTCCCATCCGCCAAGGCTGCTGACCCCTAACACGAAGCGGGATGGAGAATGATCGCGCTGCCTGGAGACTGGTCATTTTCCCGGGATACCGACACCTTCTGCTCCGACCAAGCCAACCTCCAGAAAACCTGACGTAAGCTGAGGAACCCCTTCGCTAGCCTTTTGGGGGCTCTGCAACCCGCGCCAATGCCAAGGCGGCGGGCAGGTCCCGCCCCTCCGGGAGGCCCCTCTGCGTCACTGTGACGACCCATTTACACGCAGGTGTTCCCCCCCCCACCCCGCCTCAGAGCGGCCGCCCACCGTCACCACGCGGTCCCCTTCCTCACCCGCGGCCGCCGCGTCACCGCCTGCTGCACGCGCTCGTTCACCGCCCTCAGGGCGAAGCCGACCCCCAGCTCCGCGGACATGCTGCCAGCTCTCCACATCCCCCAGGGCCTAACGTCCAGCCCGGACCCCCGCTCCCCAGGCTGAGACCCCTTCCGGTCCCGCCCAGCTCACGTCTCCGTGTGCCCAATCACCGCTCACCACCGAGTCATCTCAGCCAATCGTCAGCACGGGGCGGGACGGGGACGGTGCGGCCGGTGGCCCCGGCCCCGGCCCCTCGACGGCGCCATCTTGGGAAGGTCGCCGCGGAAGCCCGGCGTGGCTCCTGGGTGCGGAGGCGCTGCTAGCGTAGTTCCCGGGCCGTGGGGCGGGCCTTCTGCGTCCGGTGTCTCGGCCACCCCCGCGGAACCGAAAGGACGCAGAAAACTTGGCCTATGCCCGAGGTCCTCTTCCCGGGGTCCTTTGCTCGCGGATCAGCAGGAGAAGCTGCTGGGGCGGGAGACATGCCTTTTATCTCAGATGATTCTCGGGAGGAACCGTTAAGAGATATAAAAGAAAACTGCAAAGAACATGGCAGGATTCAAATGTACGGTTATTTTCCTCTGGTCATCCTTTAGCCCAGTACTGCCCAGTGTAAGACACATATGTAATTTAAAGTTTTCTAATAGGCACATTAAAAAAATACATTTTATATAGCCCAATATATCCAGAGTAAGGTTTCAATATGTAACCAATAGAAAAACTTAATGAGATCTTTGAATTCTTATTGTATTGATACTTAATTTACAAAACCCAGTGTGTAGTTTGGACGACAAGCCTCAACTCGGACTGTCCACGCCGCAGTCCCCCAGGTGGCAGGTGCTGCCTTCTGGGAGGAGAGCACAGGCAGCTTTAGACAGTCCAGCCTGGGCTCTGCACACATTCAGCCCAGTTCCTGTGTCTCCTATGTGTGTAGCTCTGGGCCATATGAAGATCACAAACAGGATGAGGGGCGCAGTAGGGAAGTCTAGTGGCGCAGTGGTTGGGAATCTGCCTGCCAATGCTAGGGGACACGGGTTCGAGCCCTGGTCTGGGAAGATCCCACATGCCGCGGAGCAATTAGGCCCGTGCGCCACAACTACTGAGCCTGCGCGTCTGGAGCCTGTGCTCGGCAATTAGAGAGGCCGCAATAGTGAGAGCCCCGCGCACCGCGATGAAGACTGGCCCCCGCTTGCCGCAACTAGAGAAAGCCCTCGCACAGAAACGAAGACCCAACACAGCCAAAAATAAATAAATTAATTTAAAAAAAGATTAGCGCAGTAAAATACTAAGTTTAATAGTCGGATGGTGAAATGGTAGGTGCTGAGGCAAGTAGAGATGGATTTTGTTGTGGAAAACATTCTTGGCTGTACTGCTGTACTGTTGAAAGACTCTCAAGCATTAATTCAGCTTCATGAATGAGATGCTATTACGTTGGAGAAAGGGCTAAAGTTTGCTCTCCATGTTGTCTTGAGGTGACTGGGCTTACTTTGAGCCTTCTGGAAAGAAAGGGCAACATTCGTACTTTCTTCTCTCACCGTCTTCCCAGACCCTGGGAACTGAGTTAGAATTTCACATGTCTTTTCTGGGAAAATCACTTTGAGCAGAACCTAAGGTCTTTGTCATCAAGGACTTCTTTTGGGGAAGTTTCCATCTACCAGGAACACAAAACTGGGTTATCTGTAAACTAGGGTTGCAGTAATTGTGTTCAAGTAAAATGTCTCTGGACTTGATAATTTCTACTCCTGCCAAAGTGATAAAGATTAAAAAATGACTAGACTAGCCCTTCATGGTGTGAATATACTAATAGATGCTTGTGGTAGAGGTGCAAGGTTGGAAGGCGCTAGCCGGCAGTCAGTGGTGGAAGGAACAAAGGGATTACGGTGATGGGGATCATGGTGAAGGGCTGTATAGCGGAAGGATTGGGTGAGCATGCTATATAGAAAACATTTTAAAGACCATAAATACTTAACAGAACTAAGGGATGTATAATCCAGGTGATAGCTCACTATGACAATAAGTAGAAGTAACTTCATTAATAGGTCAGGTCATTTCTTTGAATTACAAGGTCAACCTCCCCATCCCAATGGTGTATGTGAGTATGGCTCCCCAAAAAGTATCAGAAGAGTGATTTAAGCTTTCGAGTTAATAAGGATAGTGGTGGCAAGATTGGGTGGTGGTGGGCATAGGACTGACACAAGTTGAATCTTGGTTTCATCACTAAACTGTGATCTTGGACAAGTAACTGAACTTCTCAGTTTTTCATTTATAAAATGGAGTCCGTCAATATCTCCTTCAGACTTCAATCAAGGTAGCATGTGACACACACTTAGCAGAGTGCTCCCCAAAGCAAGTGTTCAGTGGACACTAGTCCCTCCATTAGTCAACATTTATTGAGACGTTTTCTCTGTAAAGGAACCAGGGGAGACCAAGATGAGTAGGACAGGATTTATTGTGGATTCACTTCTAAGATACTTTTCATCTCTAACATTCTATGACCTTATAAAAATGGAAATAAAGGCAAAAAGATCATGGGGACCCCAGTCTCATTATCATTTCCCATTTTCCAATTTTCTTTTTAAACGTCTTAGCTGTACTTTTGAATGAATTTTATTCCACTTTTTCCTCCTTATTTTCTTTTTTAGTTTCTTCCTCTTCCCGGGACATCAACCATCTAATTTAACCTTTCATCCTTCCATACTACTTAATTCTTGAAAAATGCAAGTCTGAAATCACCTCATCCCTAGTAATTGTCTTTAAATTGCTCCAACAGTTTGCAAGGACAAAGAAGAAAAGAGATTAGAAAGCCAAATACCCAGAGGAACCGGTTTCATAAACAATTTTATAAAAATCTAGTATACTTACTCACCATAAATGCCATCAAACTTTAAAAATATACACCTCTGTAGTCTAAGGCCCTGAATTATGAGAAAAACATTTATGGATTTAAAAATTATTTCCTTTAGGGAATCCCCTGGCTGTCCAGTGGTTAGGACTCTGCACTTTCACTGCCAAGGGCGTGGGTTTCATCCCTGTCGGGATTAAGATCCCACATGCTGCGCGGTGTGGCCAAAAAAAAGATTCTTTTGAGTTTACTGTGATTCTTTCAGGGGGATTAAAAAAAAAAGATAAAATAATAAAAAATTACTGTTGCCTGGTTACTTGGCTCTGAAGAGAAATGGAAAAATAATGCCCATGTTCCAGTTTAAATGAATTCAGGTAGAGAAGCCATGTCAGCAATCCCTCAGCAAACATACTGTCACATTTGGCTTTTGAAATGTCAATATAGATTCTAGAACCCTAGACCTGGTGAGGACCTTTAGAGATCATTCGATACTTCATATAGAGAGGATGACATTTAAACCATCCCAAACAGCACAGAATCTCCCCAAGACCATCAGAGAAGAAAATGTTATCTGTGATAATCCCTGGATTTATTTTCTATTTGCAGATAACCACTTCTCCCTATTTCAAATTTTAGCCAGTCTTAAAGTAAAATCTTTCAAACTGCTCTATTCTGCGAGCCCATTTCCTCTTCTTTGGTCTCTGAGGAGCTAGACTATCTAGCTGGCCATGATGCAACCTTTTTTTTTTTTGGCTGTGCCATGAGGTGGGCGGGATCTTGGTTCCCTGACCAGGGATCGAACCCGTGCCCGCTGCAGTGGAAGTGTGGAGTCTTAACCACTGGACCACCAGGCAAACCCCGCAACTTTTTTAAAAAATTGAAGTATAGTTGATGGACAATATTATACGTTACAGGTGCACAATATAGTGATTCACAGTTTTTAAAGGTTATGCTCCATTTATGGCTATTTTAAAATATTCGCTATATTCCCTGTGTTGTACAATCATGCAAGTTTTATAAAAGTGAAGTTGCTAAACTCCCCTTCTGCCTTTTCTGGGGTCAACCCATGAGATTTAGCTTTTAACTACTTTTTTTCTTTCGGTTTTAACATTTTTTCTTTCTAGCCTCTACAAGTCTTCTTTTTATTTTAATTGGAGCCCAGAAGTGGGCAATTAATTTCAACAGGGCCAAACTGGCTAATTTTCTACCTGTCTACTGCATTGCTGGAAGTACGAATTCTCAATACTGCGTTTGCTGAATTGCAGTGTTGTTCCTTTCTTCCTCTATGTGCTATCTTACCTGTAATCTTATTCCATGTTATCACATCTGTTTGATTCCCCACTTAGTTACCTGTGTGTTTTCTAGCCTGTTTTTCCAGATGACTGAAAATAAGTTATTTTTGAACACTTATGCACCGTGCTAACCCCTTCACATGCGTTTCATTTCACAATGCGTTTTCATTTCATCCACTCAACCCATTTTATAGATGAAGAAACTGAGGCTCAGACAGGTTAAAGAATTTATTCAAGACCATACATCTAAGAAGTGGTAGAGAAGGGATTTGGATCTTGGCAGTCTAACCCTAGAAACTACATTCTTAATTTACCTATTCAATTGTAAATCCATAGTATTTGTGTTGGGCTCTCCAACCAACAGAGAAAGTTTGGGAGCACCATTGAAAAACCTGAGAAAGCATGGGCTAGGGTTGCCAGACTTAGCAAATAAAAATACAGTTGATCCTTGAACAATGCAGGTGTTAGAGGCACTGACCCCGGCTGGCATCGACGAAAATCTGCCTACAACTTTATAGCAGGCCCTCGTTATCTGTGGTTCTGCACCTGCGAAGGCAACCAACCGCAGATTGAATAGTCCTGTAGTATGTGTTTATTGAAAAAAATCCGTGTAAAAGTGGACCCGTGTTGCTCAAGGGACAACTGTTCAGGATGCTCAGTTAAATGTGAATTTCATATAAACAACGAATACTTTTTTAGTATGTCTCATGCAATATTTGGGACATACTTATACTAAAAATTATTCGTTATTTATATGAAAATCACATTTAACTGGGCATCCTGTATTTTATTCGGCAACTCTAGGCTGGGCATATTTCCCAGACAGAGACTGCGACTTTCTTACCGAATTGATATCAAAATATATTTTGGGTCAGCAGAAAGTACCTCTGCTCTTTTGGAGCAGAATTGCAGCAGTGTATGGAGTATTTTACGATAAATCTCCGTAGCACCTACCAAGAGTTATGCCATTTTCACAAATAAGCTGTTTATTATTTCTACATCGATAATGGGAATAGATATTCATCTGAATATATTTTTGGGGCTCGACTTAACTCACTAGGCAGAAATGTTTTATCTCTTTATATCACCTAATCTAATATTAGCTATTGCTAAATTTCACTGTAATAAAAAAATACAAAGACTCATTTTATTTAGCAAGACTGAAAATAAAGCTAAGACATCAAATCACACCTTTAGAGTTGTCTAAAACAGTTCTTCCATCTATCAGCCCAAGGCAACTGATCCAGCATATCATTTGTGGAGTGACTAATATAACAACACTCATTTCTCAGTTTCAAAGGGGGTCATTCAGTCCTCGGGGCTCTTTGCAAGTAGAATTAGTTTTGACTGTTCAATCACCAGCTTGCACAAAAGCAGAAATAGAGAGGAATGGAAATACAAACACAAAATGATTGGCTATTACCTCTTTTAAAAGGAAACACCAGAAATAGTGGCTAGAACCCTACTGAATAGAACTAAAGAAGCAGTGGTTAAGTCCATAGAGGCAGAGTGACCCCTAGTCAGGATACAACTTATCCTCGATCAAACTTAAATAGGTAGTCAGTAAATATGAAGCTCTTACTTTCACTGTTTATAAATGGTGGAGTTATCTGTGTTGAAAGATAGAGACTCATAGAAACTGCAACAGATCATTTATAAAACATCTACTTTTTTCGGATCAATATAGTCGGCCCTTTGTATCTGTGGATGTGGAACCCGCGGATACAGAGGCAGCTATACTAGGCCATTTTATATAAGGGACTTGAGCATCCACGGATTTTGGTATGGGGTCGGGGGGAGTGTCCTGGAACCAGTCCCCTGCAGATGCCGAGGGATGACTATATTGCTAAAATTCTTTCAGTGATTTTTTTCCCTCTCTCAACTTAATATGATCGCAGATCCCTCCGAATTTATTTTAGTCATATAAAAATTAACAAACTGTGGCTTCCTTTCAAATATTCTGTCCTGATATTAAAAAAAGTGATTAAAAACAGTACTGAATATAGATCACTTCTGCAAAGTTTAATGAGTGAGAAACATTCAACCAAGGTGATTTTTCCTTGGAAAGTCCTACAAAAACTGACTTTTATAAACAGTTCCTTATTTTGATAGAGGGTCCATTTATCAATAGCAGCCATGACTTTACTGCCTGCAAAACTGCAGGCTGTCACAGTTTACATGTTTAGAATTCAAATGTTTTCAGATCAGGTTTTCTAGTAAGTGTTACAGAAACGAAGTCACACAGACAGACTGGTTAGTTGTCCCAAGCTAAGAAAACAGCCCATTTCCATGATTTTCCTATTCAGGCAGGTACAGACAACATTGGAGTTAAACGAATGGGTACTACAACAGTTACATTTTTTGCTTAAAGAAGAAGTGACATTGACATTGAAGGGGGGCAGGTGTAGCAGGACGTCACCGAGGCTCCTTTGTGCTCTAGCAAGGGACAAGCCATCACAGGATGCTAGTATTAGAGAGAAGTTCCGGTTAGGAATCTGAGCAAGCCTGCTATTCAGAGAGGCTGAGATGTCCTTGCTGCGCATTCCACTGGAGAGAAGTAGTGTTTTCTGAGGCTTAGGCAGCCGGTCTCAGAGCAGAGGAGCCGACAAATATGTAAATCAGGGATGCTGGATGTGACATGGTACTCCTAACAAGTGATTAATGGCACTGAAGTGGGAGGAGGGTGAGTGTATCTTAATGATGGATACCTTATGTTGGTCTTAGACTAACTGCCTTCTGCAAGGCCTTCTGAGCACGTTAAAATCCATCACTCCCAGGAACATTTGGCTGCCTGCACAAAGTGTGACCGGGAATGGAGGTTTGAGAATTCTAAGTCCCACAAATTAGAACAGAGAAGGGCAACATTTAAATTAAGAGGGATTAACCCTTTGTGTATTCCTAGGCCGGCTGAATGCTCCCCCAACTCCCGAAGAGCCTGGTGCTACTTAGAAGCAAGGTAGCCCGACTTTTGGGGCCATTCGATTAATCAGAAGTCTGGGTGTGGGATCAAAAATGAGATGGAAATCTGTGCCAGAAAGTATCATTTGTAGTTTCACCGAGAAAAGAGGGGTACAGTGGGAGTTCTTCTTGGAGGGGGGCAGCTAATAACAAATCCTCAGCCAGGGCTTGTCGTGGACGATACCAACAGGCTTGCAAGTTCACTCCAGACAGCTGCCCTCCACTTAGCGACCTGGTACACACTCCTGCCCCCAACTCCAACTTCAGGACACAAGAAAACCTTTTTTTCATCTTTGTGTTCCCCCCACCCAAATCTCCCAATTAGTAATGAAAAAACATTTGAGTGGATTCTGATGCAGTCCTTCTGACCCAGGGACTAGGGCATGAACTCGTACCCACACAGCTGTCTCTGGAGATTTAACACTCGGTGTGACCCCTGGAGCCCTGGATTTAAAGACTCCGGCCGCTTAGCGAACGGGCTCCCCCTTATCACTACATCAGACAGACCCCAGCACAAGTCACAGGCACTGAGATTGGGGAATCTTTTGGACGAGCCCTTCTTCCTCCCCCAGAGGAGGTCTTCAACCGTAGGATCCCCACAGCAATGAAAAGACACTTGATCTCAAGGAACGCGCACAGTTTGCCAAGCAGGTACCACAGTGGCTAACAGATAGCACGGTCCCACTTCAGCAGCTTTGAAGACACCTGAGTTCTTCATTCCTGTCTTCTTGATGCTGAGTGGAACCAACGAACAGGTTAAGAGGAGAAAAAAACCAAATCACAGAATAGGTGAAGAGTTTTAAAAAGAATTGTGTGGTGGGGGCCAAACCCTGACCCTGGAAATGTGGTCGGAAGCCACCACGCTTTCAGCCCTGGGGCAAGGAGGGTGGTGTGTAGAAAAGCCTGCAGAACCTATAGCACCAGCTCTTCCTTACCAGGGCTCCAGAGAGCGGGCCTCGGCAGTAACCCACGGGCTCACGGCCAGGAGCGCCGGGAAAGCCAACATCCACCGCAGCCGTTTCTCCACAGCTCTGCTGGCAAACTTACAAGCACGTACTTGCTCGGTAGCTGGGCCTCACCCACGGGCATCTCCCACCTTGGAGGCAGGTTGAGAACACTGGACTGCCTTTCCCCAAATAAGGGCAGTCCGATCGGAGGCGACACCCTGCATTTCTCCCACTCCTTATTAATAGCATCCCTAATTAAGCCAGCTTCAAAAGGGTGAAAATCAGTGCCTGGAGCTCAAAGGTCTAGCCCATGGTTTCCAAATCTTAACAGAAGCCACGTAACCTACTTACCTGAAGAAAACCCCAATTCATCAGTCCCTACCCCCGCTTCCCAGGAAGGGGAATAGGTTTAAGTCCGTTTCTTCTTTTTTCACCACAGTACGTGGAAGAGAGTCAAAGAAGGTAGTGTGGAAGGGAGGGCTGGTTCATCATTAAAAAATAAAGATCTCTTTGAGGGTCATGTGCGGCTGGGGACAGAAACATTCAGTTCTCCTCCGCGTCTGCCTCCGAGGGCTCCTCTTCTAAGTCAAAGCTCGGCTTGTCAGCTAGCGCCTCCAAGTGCTTGCCCAGGCTGCCCGCAGAGTCCACGAACATGTCAGGGATGTCTTTGCCGAAGTAAATCTTGCTGCTGGAAGCGATGGCCTTGTACTTCATCAGCTGCAAATACTCGGGGGTCAGCTTCAGCTGGAAGGAAAGCGAGGAAGGCCGACTCTGATGGGGCCAGGTTAGGTCTCAATGCTGCGTTAGCAACCGCGAAACCCCTTCTCTGGGAGACAGTAATCTCAGGCCCTCAAGGTGAGAACTGCGAGAGTTTCAGGGGTTTCTCTGTTTACCAGCAAAATCAAACTTCTCTCAGGGTCCAGCTAAGGGAAAGGGAAGGCGCTGGCCCACACGGCCCAGAAGTCCTCGCTCGCGACCACGAGGGGCTGGGGCAGGCGCCGTGTTCTTACAACCACCCGGCTACTCTCAAGCCGGGCACACGCCCTCTGGCGGCCGGGCGGCGCTGGGCCTTTACCTTGTTTGCTTCGGCTATTTTCATGGCAGTGTAGCACTCGGCGTCCGCCTTGGCCTTCTCCCGGGCCAGAAACGCAGCATCTTAAGAGAAGAACGCAGTGAAGTGAAGGGCAGAGGCTAGTCCCCGCCACTTTCCCCGACTGCCTCCGTGACCCTGGGCACAGTGCTCTGGCTTCTCTGTGCTCTGATTTCCTCATTTATGAAACTGGGGAAAAGGCATTTTCCTCCTGTTTCACAAGTGGTTGTGAAAATCGACCAAGATGGAAGAGTGCTCTGACAGCATCTCCCGGTGGTGGGGCCTAGCTAACTCTGAGTAAGTCTGCCGCTGTGCCCGACAGTGTCTTTTCTGACAGCATCGTGGAGACACATCCTCTTTCTAGCCGCTTACTCCTTCTGTGGCCTGTGAGGAGAGGGACGGGACCCGCCTCAGCCTCCTGTCTCCAAGCTCTCCACCCCAGCGCTCTCCCCTCCTAGTACACAGCAAGACCAAGGGAAGCCCGAAGAAGGCTCTGGATACGGCCCGAGGTGGATCTGCCCTGAAATGGACTACCATAAACAAAACAGTTCAGCCCCTCTCCAACTTCAGCTTCCTTTTCATTTCCACCAATCATTTCAGAAAGGCTCCAATTAGCAGCGCTTAAGCTGGCACAACTTGAAGGGCATGACATGCCATGGTCTAGACTAACACCTGTTTGGACTAAGACACATTTAAACTTCTACTTTGCAATCTGCTTCCTTAATCTGCTCAGACCAGCTTTCGGTCAAGCTGATGCAAAATTTTTGATATTTACTCCCTGGCCTTGGGAATGAGGCCAGCCTTGCATGAGCAACAGCTGTAGCAAAAGCCTGGGAAGCAAGCGAGGACTGGCGGTGGGTTCTTACTGCACAGCCTCAGCAAGGCCCTGGGTGGTGGAAGCCTGCAGGCTGGCTGGGGTGCATGCGGCCAACTTGACTGGCCTTAGCGCCTGGTGACCTGCGTTTATAATAAAAATGTGCTGTTCGGCTAAGAGCTCCCCAGTGAGGAGCCGCTGATCCGTAAAGGCCTAACTGGCTCCTCCATGGGCACCTGCAAAGCCCGAAAGGCCCCATCGTGAGTACTACTGGACACAGCACTGTGCAGCCTGAAGCTGGGCCCTGAGGTCTTGTTTTTGGCCTAGAATTTGCTTGATATAAAGGCACCACATGGAGGAGAAGGTGGGTGGTGGGAATGAGGTGAGAGCTGAGGTGCAAGGGACTGAAGGTGAGTGAGATTCAGAGAAGCTGGCAAAGACAACACCTCTCTCCAGCTCGTGGTGTCGGTATTGAAAGGTGTTTTCTTCACACCCAGCTTAACATCCACAGGGACCCTGAGAGGCCAAAACGATGGTGTTCACGGGCTTCTGAGGAGGGGGGCGGGTAAGGCAGGGGGGAGAGAGCTGCTGTCTGGACCTAGCTTCTTGGTTTACTTCCAATGCCAGACTGTGAGCCCAACACAGCAGGGACCACGTGATCTCCCTTTTTCTTAAGCCTGGCAGAAGAGTCCTGATGGCACCCAACTAAAATCTGATGAATGACTGAATCTCTCTGAAGTGGAAAATTAATGCCAGCCTGGACCGAATCTCCCCAAAACTCAAGTCAGAGCACAGAGAACAAGGGATGTTCCAAAGAAACCATAACATCTGAGCACAGAGATTACAGAGCAGAGGAAATGACTCTCCCCCCCCCCCCCCCGGCCACAGAGCGGGGTTTGAGGAAAAGGCGGGCGGGAATCTCTCGCTCACCTTCGATTTCCGAAATCCTCTTCTCCGTCTCCTTCTCCATCACCTTCTGCCCATAGGTGATTTCTGCCACCTGAGCCACTTTCTCTGCCTCTGTATTAATGAAGTTGAGAAAGGCTTAGAGTCCCGATATTTCCAGAGTTTGACTGCACTGCACCTTTCACCTGATCTGAGGCCCTGATGCAGGGCAGCGGGTGGGCTCGGGTGAAGGGCCACTGGCCCAGAGGCAGCCATGGCAGGCTCCCTCTCCCAATTCACGGGGTATTTCTCCCAAAGGAATGTTTTAAGGGTTGAGGTACAGGTTTCCTCCTGCCACTGCACTTTAGGAAGTGGCCAGGGCTGTGGCTGGTTGTCTGGTGCAGTGGTAAAGAAGCCGGGTTCAGGGGCAGAGTCCCTGGATTTGAACCCCGTTTCCAACACTTCTCTGCCATGTGACCGTGGGCAGCAATCTAGCCTCCGTGTGCTTCAGCTCAGTGAGAGGAGGTTAAGGATGCTGCCTTCCTCACCCAGCAGGGGTGGGTGTGTGAGGAGCGAGATGATTCACCCGTAGGCGTTTAGAAAAGCCCACGGCTCATAGTAAGGGCCCAATCAGTGTTATTATTATTGTGAATGAGGAATTAACTGGAAGGGCTCTTTTCATTTAAGAGATGTGTGGAAACTCAGAACTCATGATCCCTGGCTGTGATCTGACAATTTCAGCTCTGTTTCCGGGGGATGCAGGCCGACCCCGCGTGTGGCAGGGCTTCGGAGGACCGAGCCCCAGGCTTCCTGAATCTCTCCACCCTCCCCAGCCTGTCTGCTCTGAAAGGGGACCCCACAAGCACAGTCAGACCAATGAGGGCCTTCTTCCGCTCTGTCTCGGCTTCCTTCTCCACCACCTTTTGCTTCTGGGCTGCAATCAGAAGCTTCGTCTTCTCGCTTTCCCTGAAGGGGAGAAAAATGCACAGCTGTGAGGCCGCTGGGGACCAGCTTCTGCGGAGATTCACTGTGCCCTGGAGAAGACAAGCTGCCCCCGCCCCGGGGGACGCAAGCTGTCATTCCTTCCTCTCTCCTGGCAGGCTCTTTAATGTCCCAGGTGGAAGCGGCTCTGCTGCAGGCAGTAACATGGCTTGCCTTCTCCTCCAAAACTCATTGGTAGGAAATAAAGCATAACTGACTTCAGTAAAAGGCACCTGCCTGCCCACGCAATAGCCGCTCCCCGTCTTCTTCAGCACGAGCCGTGAAATGCCACACGCCTCCCCCCGCCCCCGCCCCGGCCCTCTGAAGAGCATCCCTGCTCTGTCATTGCGGAGCCCAGGTGAGCGTCCTGACATGCCTGCCCCATCTTCCAGGGTGGTGCGCTGTAACAAATACTCAAGAGGGGATGCCTGGCCCGGCGTCGATCAACCCCGGGATGGGATGAACGGGAGGCAGGGGAGAGCGGTGGTTACAGCTGGGGCACCGGGCACACTCACATCAGCTCGTAGTTCCTGCGGATGGCTTCAGGTATGTTGGGCTTTGTCACCCGCACAGCCTGGAGAGGGATAAAAACAGCACCTGATGGGGAGGTGAGGGGCTGAGGGACCAGCTCCCACCGGTCCTTGATCTTCCTGCACAGACAGGACATCCTCTGGAAGAGGGGATGCACCTTCCTCGGGGGTCGGGGGGCGATGGCAGGGCTCCCACCAGGGCGGTGCTTACTTGGATGACGAGCCCGGGGGCCATGGAGGTCAGGTCCTGTTGCAAAGCCAGTTTGAGATTTTCATCAATCTGATCTGGAATCAAGAGAGATAGATAAAGGAGCTGTTACACTTTTCAGGCAGGGAGGAGGGAAGTATGGTGGTAGAGTGCAAGGCAAGACACCGGCTCATGAATGCACCTGACAGGCAAAAGGTCTTCCCGAGGCAGAGTGCTCATCAGAGCTCGGATGTCTAAAGACGCCCTGCAAGACTCACAGCGGGAGGCCCACTCGGTCCTCTATGTGAGCCAGACGTGAGCGTGTCCTTTCCCTGGGGCCTCAAGAAGATATCAGCCTCGCCCAGAAGGGAACTAAGCTTTAAAAGGACAAACAACTCGAGCACATTTTTTGAGTCAGGCAGCAGCCTTTCCCTAGAAACAGCAGCAACAGAAGGTGGCCGCCTGGCTTTCACGAAGAAGGAAGGTGGAATGGCCAAGTTAGGTATTTTGAAAAAGCCAAGCACATTAAATCTAGTAATTTTAGAGGTTTCTAAAAGAAAAACAGACTCTGATGTCAAGGAAAGCCCCAAGGAAGACTAATTCCATTAGGAACTCCATCAAATAACACAAGGAGAAGAATGACAATTTACAGCTCTGGAAACGAGCCCAAGTGGTCTGATGTGCTGTTTGCTTTGGTCCTGATTCTCTGTCTGAAACATGACACGTGAGTCACTTCACGGACAAGGGTTGGAAGAGCTGTAACCGACTGTCCCTCTAGCTGTGACCCTAGAACAGCGGCGCCCAGGCTGCCTGCTCTGACCTGGGCCTTCCCTTCTCTGCCCCCCGCCCATGAGATCCTCAGTAAGATCCTGGAAGAGCACTGAGAAAAGGACCCACGAAACCAGGCTGGGACATCTTCACAGAACCATCTCCCTACTGTCAGCTGCCATCTGCTTTAAGTGGCCATTCGTGATCCAGGAGCCTTTGAGGAACAGTAAGTCTAACTCCTTGCCTGTTATAGATGCTCAAACTGAGGCCCACAGAGGTTCAGTGATGTGCTCAAGCTAGTCAGGACCCAAAATAAAGAACTTGTTTAATTATTATGCTTTGGTTGTTAGGGTTGAGAACAGTACTTTCTTCAACTGTCATATCGCTAAGCAAGGGGTTTTAATACTTCTACATATCAGATACGTTCCCAGCAGCCTCTCAGCACTGAGAGAGAAATGCCCATAAGGGCAGCACCTCCCACCTGACATGGGTCTAACAATTTGATGGCTAGAGATAAACATTACATTCCACATTTTCTATTTTAAATAGGAGACCGACCAAACTTTAAGGGATATGCCCTATACCCTCCATAAGTTAACAACACAGTTGTTTATCAGATTAAATTCTGTCTGAGTCAAGGCAGAAAATTGTGACCCTGGGCTAGTAATTTTCTAGGAAAATCTGGAAGAAATGTTTTGCATGGTGGTTTACTACCAAAGTAACACCAGTACTAAGTTGTTTATAGGCGATGGTTATGCTGACAGATGCAGATTAAGTTATGTTATTACGTGAACACAAAGAAGGTCTTCAGACAAACTTCTGAACAAGTACTGGATAACATTTTAATAAAACAGGCAAAGAGGATGCATCAGAGCAAGCAGTGATAAGAACTGCAGTCAAGCTGAAAGTCAGGGCTATGCGTCCTGAGAGGAGGGGACCAGAGAAAAACTTTCCAACTTCAAGGAACAGGATTAGAGATTTGAGTTTCTCCTTTGCAGATGCAAATGGATTCTAAACAAAACAGTGCTTGCTGGCAAGAATGATGTTAAAAGATATTTCAAAGCAAACACACTTCCCTAGCTCCTCTGTACAAGAAGTTTTACTTTACTAGGACGCCAAGTTCATCTGCAAGATAGTGAGAAGTTCTCTAATGCAGAATAATTTCACATTTTAATTCCCTCTACACGGAAATTAGAGCTCTTCTGTCTTTTGTTGTTTCAAATGCTTTGGAACGTTCATTTAATGGCACAAGTTCTAAAACAATGGCTAGAGAGAAAACTAAGATATTTTATGAAATTATATCAGTTTGAGGTTAAAAAAAATCAACAGCAGATTTACTGAACTGTTCTTAAACAGCACACTGAATCCAAACCCCACAAGAGAATCCAAAGCCTATAAAGTGAATTTAGATTCATTTTCTTCTGCAGAAAAGTCAAAAGTGCTTCTGATGATTTCCCAAATCTGAAACACAGTGCAAAAGGCTGTTTGCTTAATTAAGACCACTGGCGCCGCCAATGATTCCGCCTCTGTCTACTCTACAGAATGTTCTCACTCAGGGTCCTTTTAATGAAGATTCCTGGGAAAAATCACTGTCCAGTTCTGATGTCAAGAATAGCTGTTACCACTGATTGCAAAGTTCATTTGCTTTTATTTTTTTAATACATTTATTTATTTTATTTTTGGCTGTGTTGGGTCTTCGTTGCTGCGCGTGGGCTTTCTCTAGTTGCGGTGAGCGGGGGCTACTCGTTTTTTTTTTTTTTTTTTTGCAATACACGGGCCTCTCACTGTTGTGGCCTCTCCCGTTGCGGAGCACAGGCTCCGGACGCACAGGCTCAGCAGCCATGGCTCACGGGCCCAGCCACTCCGCGGCATGTGGGATCTTCCCGGACCGGGGCACGAACTCGTGTCCCCTGCATTGGCAGGTGGACTCTCAACCACTGCACCACCAGGGAAGCCCGGGGGCTACTCTTTGTTGTGGTGCGCGGGCTTCTCATTGCAGTGGCTTCTCTTGTTGCAGAGGACGGGCTCTGGGCGCGCGGGCTTCAGTAGTTGCGATGTAGCTGTGGTACGTGGGCTCAGGAGTTGTGGCTCGCGGGCTCTAGAGCGCAGGCTCAGTAGTTGTGGAGCACGGGCTTAGTTGCTCTGCGGCATATGGGATCTTCCCGGCCCAGGGCTCAAACCCGTGTCCCCTGCATTGGCAGGCGGATTCTTAACCACTGCGCCACCAGGGAAGTCCCACGTGGGTCCTTTCTGTTCTAAGCGTTTCCCTATTCCTCTCTGCAGGTATAGGGTAAAAACAACAACCCAAACCCACAGAGGTTCTAGGAACTGTAAGTAGCTGTGGTCCTTGTCCCACTTCTAGAACTAAACGTGGCCCTTGCTGTTTTCATCACTTGGTCCCGGTGCCCTTCATCCAGGGTGGCATGGATGAAGCCAGAAGCCAGGGGAGGGAGGTCTGAGCTTTGGCTCTGCTACTAGCCAGCTCTGGCACTTTCTCCCTTTGGGCCTTAGTACCCTTATCTTGAAAGGAGGATGCTGGGTAATCTCTAAGGTTCTTCTAGAACTGACCCCTCTTCACTACAAAACGATGCTTAGGGACAGTGGGAACACACTTCCATCCCAGGCCTCTGATTCAGCGCAGGAGCGAGTCCTCTCATCCACTATTACTCCTGTGCCCAACGCTCAACCACTCTCACGAGCTTCTTCCACCGGCATCAGCATTTCCCAGGAGTGCCCTGTGTGACCGCCCGCTTCCCGGGCACTGGATCTTCAACACTGCCGGGCCTTTGGTACCCATCCCGCCCTGTGGGCAGCTCAGAAGTAGGCAGCGGGGAAGCAGGGCTGCTTGAGCAGGTGATCATCCCCAGAGGCTTTCTTACCGAAGAGCTCGATGTAGACCTCCTGAAGCGTGTGGACACTGCAGAACTGGTTCAGCTCGTGGTGGATCTTGTTGAAGATGAGCGCCTTGTCGTAGTCGGCAGTGTAGTTCTTCACTATATCATACACTGGGAGGAAGGAGAGATTCAGGATGAGGACGGGCGGGACTCACCACATCCCCGGACACAGCGGCTGTCCCTTCCCGGGGCGCTGCTGCAGACACGGGGCAGGCGTGGGGCCGGTGGGGGGGCGGGGGGAGTGGGCTGCAGGGGAGGGGCTGGGCTGGGGGAGGGGCACGGCAAGCACACACCTGCGTGTGGGACCAGGAAGTTCACCACCTCGATTCTGTCGAAGTAGATCATCACGCCACCGCTGTCGGAAGAGGGACGGACACAGCAGTCAAGGCTAAGCTCTGGAATATGGTGCCTCTCCTAGGGGGTGGCGGGAGGTGTGTGACTTGACAGGAAAAGAGGAGAGTTCACGGGGGGTGGGGTGGGGGGGTGCGGTGAGAGGTCAGAGGCAGGAGGCTCTCCAGGCAGGAGTCCTTCCGAGCTGCTAGCGAGAACGCAATCTCGTGAGAAATCACACCTCCTAAAAATACCTCCGCGAAGAAAAAACGAAACTTTGGCGGTAAGACAAGAGTAGTTCATCTCCTTTTAATCTGCAGTGCCTTTTGATTAAAGCAATCAATCGAAAGGAAGAGACTAAAGAAGGTAACGCAGTTCTCAGAACTTAAAAATGTGGGGTTTTATGGTCACTGTTTCTCACTTTGTTTTCACCATCACTTTAGTTCAGCCCTCCCCGCCCCGACATTAATTAGAAAACAATTTCAAACATACAGAAAAGCTGAAAGAATAGTACAACTAACACTCATATATCAACACCTAAATTTAACAATTGTTAACACTTTACCTATTGATTGATCTACTTTTTTTTTTTTTGCTGAACATTTCAAAGCAAGCTGCGGTCAGGATACCTTAGCCCTTAACACCTGTCAAGCATCAATCACCTAAGAGTAATGACAGTTTCCTACAGAGTCACAATACCATTCCCAAACCTAAGGAAATTAGCAATAATTCCTTACCATCTAATACCCAGTCTTTCTCCAAATTTCCCCAGAAGTTCCTGTCATGGACTGAATTGTGTGCTCTCCAAAATCCATATGCTGAAACTCTAATCCCCAATGCGACACTATTTGGAAGCAGGGCCTTTACACGGGTAATTAAGGTTAAATGAGGTTATAATGGTGGGGCCCTGATCTGACTGGACTGGTAAAGGAAAGAAGAAAAAGACACCAGAGATCTTTCTCTCCACACGTGCATAGAGGAAAGGCCACGTGAGGACACAGCAAAGCAGCCACTTGCAGGCCAGGAACCAACCTTGCTGCCACCTTGACCTTGGACTTTGAGCTTCTAGAACCATGAGAAAATAAGTGTCTGTTGTTTAAGCCACCCAGTCTGCGGCATTCTGTTATGGCAGCCCAGAATGACTAACGCAGTTTCTGTAACGTCTTTAATAGCTGTCATTTTGGAACCAAGTTCTAAGCAAGGTTCACCATTACATTTGCTTATATCTTTACGTCTCCTTTTTGACCCAAGGCCCCTCCAAATACAATGACTTTGTGATGAAATAGGGCCAGTCATTCTGTGGGATGTTCCGATTCTGTGTTTGTCCGAGTGTTTCCTTATGGTGTGGTTTACTTTGTTACTCTGTCCCTGTTCAGACCTTCCCGACTTTTCAACCGGACCACCATATTGGTTTTCTCTTTGAATTTCCGGCCCCTGAGTTCTCCCCCTACCACCTTTCCAACATTCTCCATAGCTAGTTCTGCTAAAGTTATCTTCCTCTAGCAAGTTATTTGTGTGCTAAAGGCCTTTATCATGGCATTCAAGGCCCTTCCAAACTTGTCTCCCTTCTGTGATTTTCTCTACTGCACTCCACCACCTACTCAACTCAGAACATAGGGAGCTTGGGGCCAGAGAACTTGGTGAAACCACCAAGTGGTACATCCCTTTTCACTGTCTCTTACTGTAGCCAGCCAGATGGCCTTGCCTCTTATTTGGGCTTCACAGCTTTATTCTGGGCACCTTACCTTGTCCCACAAGGTACGTTCTTCACCTCATCTGTCTGGAGTGTGGTCTGGAATTAGGGGAGACATAAGATGCTGTAAGGTGAGCAGTGACAAACAAAGTGAGTTCTTTTGGGAAACCTAAACAGCCTTTGCCTTGAATACTTATTTGGGTTAAACTTGGCCTCTGTGAAATGTGAATACCCCAATGAATGCTCCTCACTTACAGAGTGTGAGAGTAAACCAAGCAAAGGTACCCACCCTGCTTCCCTGTAAATGAACCACCACATGAACAAGCTGAGCGATGATGGTTTAGTGAAAAAGACCCTGGATTAGGGGTCCTAAGACCCATGTTTACTTCCGTTTCTTCCATTCACTAGTCTTGAAGCAGCAGATTCTTTATTTAACCTCATAGCCTCTAAAACCTGCTCGGCCCATTCTCAGGATTACTGTGAGACTCAAATGAGATAATGTGCACGGAATGCACTTTGAAAACCATCAAGCACAGTGAATGGCAGAAGAAACCTACAGGGCAGATGCCGATGAGGTAACCCAGGATATTTTCCTGGGTTAGTTTAAAAGTCATTCTCTGAATCTTCTTATTCCTCTTAGCTGGACATACTTCAGAGATGACTAGTCTAACGTAGCCTGGCTTTGGGTCCGTCATAACTAATCCTACACCTATTTTAGATGTCATTTCCCTTCTCCAAGTTCACCCCCCCCAATTATGTTCACATCTCTGAAATTCAAAAAAGAACCAGCAAAATTACCATGTTTTATTTCCATCTATCTTGGTAGCCTGTGGTTTAAAACATACAGATGCACAAACATCCTATTTTTCCTTCTGCGTATTCAGAACAGATTCTTCTCTGGTTTTGTCTTGAAGTGAAGCCATAGTTCCCAGCTGGGAATGACGGGCCAAGGCAATGACCCCGTTCAGCTATTTCAACAATCAAGTAAAACTCCAGAAGTAAGTGGCTCATGGAGCCTCATACTTTATATTATATATAGGACTTATTCTTAAGTGATTCCTTGAAAAGGCATTATACTCATCCACTCATCCAATGGCTAAATCATTCCAAGTCATGCACTAATCACCACCCAAGTCTGCAGTCGTCCAACCCTGCCCCACAAGCCGAGTATACCTGCACAGACTTATAGGATGTGATGAATGGGAGCATGAGATGGAAGCCAGGGCCGCTGGTGGAAGTCAGCAGGGCACCGCCTCTGCAGAGAAGGGAGAGAGAGGCAGGCTTGGTTTAGCAAAGGGGTGTCTGTTACATCAATACTGTTTGGGCCCACTTTCTCTGCAGCCCCATAAACATTTAATATAGAGTGACATGTGCCAGAGCCATGCCCACAGATCCCTGTCTTCCTCTCAGCTTGACCCTAATATTCTAGGAAGCCTGATGCTAAAACCTAAAACCGCTATTCATGCTTTTGCAGTGAGAAAAACGGGCACACAGACAAAGTGGAATAAAGACAGCAGAATCCTTGGCTATACTTGAGATAAGAGAGGAGAGCTGTTTTGTCGTATCTGTTGGGCTTGTGGCGATCCACAAGGGCAGTTAAATCCGGGAATATAGTGACCAATTAATGGTACTAGTGTTGGAGTCCAGTGACACAAAGAACCAAAAGGATAATTTTAAGTACACTTGATAAACCATCTAAATATTTTTTTGGCAGTACAGTTACTTTTCTAATCAAGTTATATGTAAATGGTAATAAAATTAAAAGCCATTTTGGGGGACATAGAAACAGATGGTGGGAAGAAGTAATTAAAGGGAGAGGGGAACCCAATCAGACTTCTAGAACTCGCTACTGGCATCCAGAGAAAAAGCATTACGGGGTACATATAAGAAGGGGCTCATAAAGACTTAAAGCACATAACTTGGTTATGGAGGTTACTCAAAGGAAAGCAACCCAAGATTTATATTAAATGCTTTTTTGCTTTATATTAAGTCACAGATACGTTTTTTTTTTTAAAAAGAGCAATAAAAATAAAGTGACATAATGGGTTATTGTAAGAACCACTATCCTAGAGCTTGCCTTGATGGATACAAGTCAACCTGCAGGCTCTTCCATTCTTCCTGAAATGTTAATTTTAAAGAGGAGGTCCACATTACATCTCCTCAGGTTGCCATCAAGAACCGGTACTCGTCAGAGGTAAGCTTGTGGCACCAAGACGCCCAGAGGCAAGTAGGAGAAAACAATGTTTCAGAGATGATCTTCAAGGAGCATGATTGTCTTTAGGTTTTCTCTCTAAATCTCTCTACACGTTTATCGATTATCATCCATGGCATCAGACTACTAGGTTTTATATTTACATTTATATATGTATTTACGTGTGTGTGTATTCCCCTCCCCACGGTCACTGACACAAAAGCTCAATCTAAAAGACTCCTATTCAACAAAATATAAACACAATTGGTCAGCAGAATCTGTTAAACATTGACTAGGAAAGCCAGTCATTGAACAGGAAGTTGCAAGCTACGCCGTGTCGCTGCCTTACCTGTAATACACCCCAATATGTCCCTCTTCTATCTTGTGCACAGCTGAGAAGAGAGATGCACACAAGAAACTGGCAGCCAGAGCCAAAACTGCTCCCAACTGAGCCATCAGTGAGCGTTCACCCTGGGGGAAAAGATACAGCAAGACGTGTGCGCTCTGACTTGCGGGAGAAAAGCTCTGACAGCGAGAGCACCTCCCCAAGCTGAGCTCCAGAAAGTGGCTCACGTCCAGCCTGTAGTAGTATGAACACAAGGCTAGATCTACAACTCTCTTCCTCCTTGCTCTCACTTGGCACCACCATTCCTTAACTGGCTCCAGATACAGCCGTGGCCCAAGGGAGAACCAGTGCCAATTGGGCAGCGTTCAGGACACAGCCTTCCCTTCCTGTGAACACGAACGGGCTGTCACCGGAGCCACTCATATTAGTAAAAGGGAAGCGAGGCAGCTGCAGTACGTTGGCCCAAATTACAGAGGATGTCAGATGACAGGCAGTTGTGGCTGTGTAATTCTGGTCAGAGCCTCCCAGTCCTTAATTGTCTGCCACTTCAAAGGAAACCATTATTTACTCCTTTCAGAGGCTGGAGTGACACAGACAGCATGCGAGCCGAGTTCCATGGCGGGATCCTCTGGCCTTTCATCCACCTTCCCCGTTATTCCTTTGGCCCTAAACAATATATGTATCTAAGCAGCACTGAAGCCACACTCCCTCCCATATGCTTGACTAGCACTTTGCAACTGACAGGTTCCCCAAGCCCATGGTTAGAGGGGAAAGGGGGTTCCCCAGGCTGGGTAGACTCTGGGGCTCCTGGGTTCAACTGTATTCAGGCACCAGGACGCGAAAGAGTTGGCATCCAGAGACTCATTTCCTGAACACTGAATGATCTGGAAAAACTACGGTAACTGTCAGCGAGGTTCCCAATCGGGCGCGCCTGGGCCCACGCGTCCAGCGCGTGCATTTCTGCCTCCCGGGTCTAACTTAACTCGGGCGCAGACGTCTGCGAGGCGCTTATTTCACCGTGCGGCCTCCAGCTACCGATCTGCAGCTGCGTCCTATGTGCAAAAACCCTTTCCTCCCCGAAGTCACCCCCGCCCCACCTCGCGCTCCTTCCCTGCCCTCTTCTGAGAGAGGGTCGCGAGTCCCAGGAGCCCTGGTTCGGGTCTGGAGGCTCCAAGAGCCTCCGCTCCGTCCCGCCTAGAGGCTCGCGGGGAAGGGACGGGACAGAAACGGGTTGCTTTCCCGCTCCCGAGGGAGAAAGGATGCTGTGCTGGGGGCCGGGGGGAACCGTCGATCAGCTCCTGCCGGGAGCCTCACCGAGGCCCAAGCGCGCACGCTAAGGGGCGGGGGCCGCGTACCAGGCTGTCCCTCCAGGCGCTCCGTACTCGTCCGAACCCCTGTGCAACCGCAGAAACCGCCACACCTCTCCGCACGCTACTTCCTTCCGGGCCCGTCGCTTCGATGACGCCATTAGTTCACGCGAGAAGACCACGGCCCTTCTCTCCCTAGTTCGCCAGAGCCGCTCCCGCGCCCCGAGCGGGGGGTGGCCGCGGGTGGCCGCCAGGAGGCGCCCGCGACGCGGTCCGGGCGGTCAGGACCGCGGTCTGGGATTTCCGGGATGGGGGTGGTGTGGGCGCCTGGAGAGTGACCCCGGGGACGAGGCGAGTGGCGGCGGGTGCTCAGGCCAACCTGTCACTTTCCGAGGATTTGACTTTGGAGTTTGCTCCGGATTCCCCTCCACGTTAGGTCAAGCCTGTTTTTTTGTTTGTTTTGTTTTGCTTTTTTTCGGAGCGGGTACCAGCGACTTGCAAGCCTTCTAGCCCTCTGTTCCGCTCTCCTGTAGCACCGCTGAATGAAACATCCTTTAAATGTGCAGATTAGCACCGTTACGTAACTAATCAACAGTCTCTACTTTGAATTGCCCTTTATGCTTTTCTACGAGCTTTGGCCTTTGAGGTCCCTACAGCACCGTAAAGTAGATTAAGAAGGAATTATCTCAATTTTAGTAAACAAAGTCTAGGTTCAGTGAGGTGCGAGGGTAGCAGTGGATGAAAGCCTGCTTTGCTCTTCCTTAACGTCGGGAGTTTAACTGCCTCGTAACTGATGCCGCTCCGCACAGCGGCTTGTGCTTGTCAGTGTCTCCCCGCTAGGCTGTAAGTTCCCTGAGGGTGGGGACTGCGTCTTCCTCAGCATCCCGGGCCCTTAGGTGCCCAGTAAAAACAGACCGCAGCACGGTGGCCGAGAACCAGCATCCAGACCTTGTGTCTCCCAGTCCGCAGCCTTCACTGGTCCGTAGCATCACACTAGGGCATTTCTAATTCAGCCACTGAAGTTACTGTGTTCGCAGAAGAGAGTCCACTTAATTACAGCCTTCGGTACTTGGAAAGCGTTTACACAGGGAAGATGGCAAGCTGGTGGTGCTGGACAGACTGAGGACACTGGAAAAGGAAAGTGTAGGTTTTCCAGGCATGGAACTGGCCCATTTCCAACCCCCTCCCCATCTCCTGGGGGTTTGCTCTGGGTGAGTTTGTGTTGAGATAGTTCATTATATGTTAAGCCCACAAGTGGGCGCTGCTGGGGAGCTCTGTGCCCACCTCCATAAAAGAGGGTTTCTCCTCTCCCCACCCTGTCACTGCAAATCTCCCCCTCCCCCAACAGACGCATTGTGCACACAAACTTGACCAATTTCCTGATTGATCCTATCAGAACCTGAGAGCTTTTTCTCCACATGTTCAGTGATAGAACTGGGCCCGACACACTTAATAAAGGTTTCTTTAATAGTTCACACTTAGTAAATGTTTACTCAATAGTTGAGTGAATGAATAAGAGAAATGGAAATATTGGGGTTTATCAGCCCAAGGAATGGGGCTTAGCGTGCAGATAAAGGAATTAAATTAGTTGTCATTTCCTGACTATTAAACTTTGAAATGAACTATGAATGGAAGTGGTGGGATTTCGTTCTCAGGAGGCTTTTTACCAGGTGTCTGTTGTTTAGTTATGGCCCTGCCTACAGCCATAACTAAATGATAATCTAACATTTCTGAAAACTCTTTCCTTAAGAGACCCGTGATTGTCATGACTCAATATCCAAAATTACCCCGGAGGTAAGTCTGTGATGATTTGTTTAACAAAAGTCAAACAAATGTGTTTAAAAATCCATTTAAAAAAAAACTTGCAGGACTTCCCTGGTGGTGCAGTGGTTAGGAATCCACCTGCCAATTCAGGGGACACGGGTTCGAGCCCTGGTCTGGGAAGATCCCACATGCCGCGGAGCAGCTAAGCCCGTGCGCCACAACTACTGAAGCCTGTGCACATAGAGCCCGTGCTCTGCAGCAAGAGAAGCCACGGCAATGAGAAGCCCGTGCACCGCAACGAAGAGTAGGCCTTGCTCACCGTAACTAGAGAAAGCCCGCGCGCAGCAACGAAGACCCAACACGGCCAAAAATAAAACAAATAAAATAAATAAATTTATAAAAAGCTTGCAGTAGAGAGTAGTGGTTAAGTGCAGATACCCCATGGTCAGATTGCATGGATTTAAATCCTGGGCCACCACCGGGGCCACCCAGCCTCTTATTAGCTGTGTGACCTTGGGAAAAAGACTTTGTCTGTGCCTCAGTTTCTTCATCTGTAAAATGGGGATCATGGTATGAACTTTATAGGACTGTTGCGAGGATTAAATGACAAACCAAGAAAATGATGTACAACAATGTTTGGCACATTTTTTTTTTTTTTGCGGTACACAGCCCTCTCACTGTTGTGGCCTCTTCCGTTGCGGAGCACAGGCTCCAGACGCGCAGGCTCAGTGGCCATGGCCCACGGGCCCAGCCGCTCTGCGGCATGTGGGATCCTCCCGGACCAGGGCACGAACCCGCATCCCCTGCATCGGCAGGTGGACTCTGAACCACTGCGCCACCAGGGAAGCCCAATCTTTGGCACATTTTAAGTGTTCAATAAGCTTTAGCTGTTGCTGTTTTAAATAGGGAATTCCGTTAATGTGTTCTTGCCCTTTTGTGGATTCCAGTTATTAACGTGACGGAAGGTGAGAGAACGATGAGCTGTAAGTTGCGTGGTTTTGAGTCGCAACCAGATGAAGGCTTATCAGAGGAAGAGATGTGAGACTCCAAAACGACACCCCCATAGATATTTACAATACAGATTTCATAAAGCGTTACTGAATGTCTTCCACGTACCAGGCCCTGTGCCTTTCTCATTTTGTAGAATTTTCAGCTCAGCTCTTTGAGTTCAGCTCCATTTTAGGGAGGAAGTTGACGCTTACAGAAGTTAAGGGATTGTCCAAGATCACAAAGCTTGTAAGCTGCTAAGGCAGAATCCAAATGACCCCAAGTCTCTTTCTTCATTATAGTAAATGAATTAGAGAATGATGATGCAACTTAAAACACATACGCACACACACTTACCACATTTATTTCATATGTAACCTTTCAGGAATGTAGATCAGTGGTCAGAAGTTGCGAAACTTTAAATTGGGCTGGTTCATTTTGCAGGTGGAAGTTGAAACAGGATTTAAAAAAAATACTCCCGCCACAGCCGTCCGCATCTCCCAATCCCTGGATTGCTGTTTAGTCCTCCAACAAACTAATTGTTGGTGAGGGTGTCACTCCAATGCTGGAAGAGACCCCTTCTTTCACATTTAGAGCCCTTTTCATCAACAACCATGTTAGCCCCAAAGGAGTCAGGCGACTCTTAAAATCTTTGGCTTCAGTTCATTTGTATCACAAGAGTGGAAGATGGTGGAAAAAGTTTTTGTTTGATTTTGATTTTTCTTCTTTACTTAATGCCCTACACAGGGAATAGAGGTCATCTTTTAGGACGTTTGATCCCAGTAAAATTTTGGTGAGCTTCGGGGGGAAGAGAAGTGACGAACTGTATCCTTAATTATTGAGGGTTACTCAGAATTTTTCCAGCTGGCAAACCTCGGACTGGTGCCTTGTAACAACACAAGGATATTTACTTGGGGCTAATGATGTTTCTTGAAGAGAGTTCTGTAAAGGGATCAAAGAGGGATCATGAAAACAGAATTGAGTTGGAAATCAGTTGGAAGTCCCCTAGAGATCATTTTGTGATTATATGTTTGTACAGCTTTGTTGAGGAATAATTGACATACAATAAAAAGCACATAAAGTGCACAAGTTGATAAGTTTTGCCATCCATATATATCTGTGAAACCATGACCACAGTCGAGATAACGAACACATGCATCGTGCCCCCAAACTTCCTCATGCCCCTGTGTAATCTTTCCCTCCAAGTCCTCTCTGTGACTCCCACTCCCTAATTCCCAAGCAACAACTTGTCATTCTAGCTTACTTTGCGTTTGTAGGATTTTATATAAATGGAATCATGCAGTATTTACTCTTTTGGGGGGAGGGGGTTGTCTGGCTTTTATTTTTTTACCCAGAATGATTATTTGGCGAGTCATCTATGTTGTTGAATAGAGTTCATTCCTTTTCATTGCTGTGTAATATTCCGTTGTACAGCTGTACAACAATTTGTTTCACCTACTCAGCTGTTGATGGACATATACACTGTTGGCTGTGATCTTAATCCAACCCTTTTATTTCACTCATGGGAAAACAGAGGGCAAAGGGGAGGAAGTCTTCAGAGAGGGGGCTTGGTCAAGGTCCACACTGCATTTGGGGAGTGATGAGGAAGCAGCCAGCTACCCTGGGAAGCTATGCCAGGGGGCCTGGTGGTGTGAGGTGTGGCTTGGTTTGGTTTGCCTGGGATGCCCCTTCACTTGAATCCATAACAATATTAGGAATTATAAAAAAGGTTGTATGGCATTTTGTCTGTGTGTATTTATCCATACATCTCTCTATATCATTGATAGACTCCTTTCTTCCATACCCGCCTGGTTTTCCTCCTCCATGTCAGAATGTTCCTTCTGTAGTCTCCATCGTGAGTGCATCCTCACTGATTCCCCAGAACTCTCTCCTTGAACCCCTGCTCTTCCCTTCTCCTTCTGGAAGGTCTCTTGTGTTCTCAGTCTTCTAATTATGGGGTTGTTGATGACTCCCCCAAATGCATATTGATAGCCGTGAGTCACAGACTAGCACGCCATCTCATTAGATGTCGGATGGAGGGAAACCAATTGTATCTCAGCCTGAACTCGAGGTTTTCCTCCAACATGCTCCTTCATTAAAGGTATCACCATGCACTCAACCAACAAAGCCAGACGCTCTGCCTCTATCTTAAGCTGCCCCGTCCATTTAGCTACGAAGTTCTGGTTCCTCCTTGACCCTGTACCCTCTTCTCTGTGCATTGCCCTCGTTCCGGCTTCATCACTTCTCACTTGGATTGTTGTAAGAATCTAATGTTCGTGACCGTCTTAGTCCACCTTGTAGCTTAAATCAGTGCCCCACGTGTTCTTAAAAACCCAGTCATAGGTTTCCTAGAGAAAAAAAAATTCAAATCTCTTAATGATGTGATCCCCTACCTACCCCTCCAGCTTTTTTTTGTTGTTGT